GTTGTGATTGAAATTAAATTGATCCTTGCATATTTTAAAAAATGCGAAAAGGTTTTATGTTTATAACAAACTATGTTTGTATACATTTTTAATTTGACTAATACATTTAAAAAATTTGTTCCAAGTTTTTCATTACATTTTTATTTTAAAAAAACAATATGATTTGAGCCGCAGCCAACTAAACTATTCAATCTTTTAAATTAATTTCCAATTCAATAAAATAAAACCATTCATATAATAGTAGAACAAAATTAAAATTGAGTATTAAAGTGGTGCGGTGACAATCAAAATTGGAATGTAAGATTAAGGATTGCAGAGAATCCACGGTTGATTTAGATTCTTCAAGAATGCCTACTATTCTGCTTAACCTTATATGTTGAAGTTGTTTAGATCCTTCTTTTTATATTTGGCGTAAAATGTTCCTCGCTTCAACGGTGAATTTTTCAATAACCGATTTTTTTAAAAAGAAAAAATTCACCCTTAAAATCGCCTTCACCAAAGTTTTTTTTAAGAATTTTCTTTAAAAAAAAAAAAAGCTAAAAAAAAAAAAAAAATGAAGTTTCGTCTCAGCGAGTTTAGTCTATTAAAAACTTTTCTAGGTTTATGATTAAAAGAAGTTTAATACAAGTAAAGATTGAAACAAAAATAATGTTTGTTAATTAAACAATTTTCATTCGCAATAACATGTCGAAATTATGAAAAAAAAAAATCAAACACTTAAAGAAATAGCCTAAAAAAATCGTCCAAAACAAAAAAAAGAAAACTCCTAGTTTATAATAAATATCTAAAAATTAAGACTTGGTCCTAAAATTTAGGTCTTAAAGCTAACATTTTAAATTTTTAAAGAGTCTATTTTAATAAATATTTTTAAATAAAAAATTATTTTTTTTTAAAAAAAAAGAATCTTTAATACGATTTTTATCAACCATTGATTCTAACCATTGCAGTCCCATTCGTTACAGCTATACCATTGAAAAAGAATTCATTCATCATTCTCCCGCATTTTTTCTCCTTCTTCTTTAAATGAAAATAATTATAAGAGATATAACATTAGTAATATATTTTAAAGACAATGTTTAAAGTTAGGTCACCTTCTTATAACCTTTTTATTATCATTTCCGTATTTGTTGCTGAGTGCCTCACTCGGATCTCATAAATTTTAGCTTTAAGATTATTTGATCCTAATGAAATAGCCTCAAACTCTAGTTCATTCTGAGCGTTTTCCTCAGCCACACTTTCATATGACGGAGGGAATTTCTTTCAGATATCTCAATGTATTGACGTTTATAGAATTGTTTTCTACAAGCTTTTCCCATTATTGAGTATTAAAAGTTGAGTTGGCAATTTGAAATGTGAAACAAATTTGAAAGCGATGAAATACGAATAACTTTTTTTGGATATTTTAAAGAAAAAATAAAGTTTTGAAAAGTATAATTTCGATAATATTATGTTAATTATTTATTAAATGGGGCGTTCTACATATGCATCTATGAAAACGTATTTTCGTGTTTAAATTCGATCAGTTTGTATTATATATAATTTACGAGATAAAATTTTTACCTTTGCT